CAATTCAATTTTTACATGAGACGTTTATTTTGCTGCCAGCTTGTGAGTGCCTAAAGTACCTTGTAGAGTACATCAAATAATGAGTCCGACCAGTGAGTGAACAGCATGGAACAAATTTCAAGGGAACTTGTCTCGACTAAATTCTTTATCCAATAAAGTTTCGCTACCCCTCATCTTTAAGTGAAGTGGCGATTTCGCCGAATCCCACAATCAGTGTAAATTTATACTTTCTAGTTGAATAAATAAAAAAAACTCGATTATTTTCATTTATCTCTGCGGTAACTGTAACGTTTGACACAATGATATGGAGAATCAGACGTGACAGAGCCTGCCAAGCTACCCGACGTGTAATGAGCCCCATCGATGTTCAACGACGTGAACGCAGAGGACAAAAATGCACCGCAAACTCGGCGCTTAGCCCAGCCACAAACGCATGCATGCTAGCTCGTGTCCCAAAATGCCTCTGATTGCGGTCGGATTGGGCTGTCTGCCCATTGGATCAACAAGGCCGAAACACTAATCGATTACCCTATCATGGCTTGGTCAGATCTTGCTCTTATTGGTTGTCGTTCTATCTGGCCTGGGGAATGTGACCAATCAGGTCAGCGAATCACAATCGTCAGGCCGAGCAAGCTAGTTCTCTGTGTCCGGCCCGCACTGTGCCGTCCGGGTGTAACGTGCTTCGAGGCCTTATCGTCTGACGCGCACGTGCGTCTCGTGTCAATCGGGACACGGCATTGCAACACTGATCTGTGAAATATTTCTCAGTGGATAATTGTCTTCCATTCTGTATTTTTTTGTGCTCGAAGAAATTAAGTTTTACCAACTGCGATTCGGATTTATACGCGGATAGATATATATTTATGAATGAAATTGTGACATCACACTGCTTTTTGATCTGGTAGGTAAGGAATTTACGAGGCATTTTTACTGATTTATTTTCATTTTAATATACAATTCTCATAAAGATTCAATGTTTGCTAGACATGCGCATTAAATGGGATAACAAAAATTAACTAGCAGAAATAATCTTTCTTAATGAACGTCAACAGAAAGAGTATGCTCATTATTATTATCGGGTATAACATCTACATCCAAATGATGTAGTATTAGGCATAAACATTATTCACTTGGGGACCTGAATGTGTGTCAGGAGTTTTTAATTTTTTCAAGCTTTATTAGGACAGTTGAACTGGACTTGTTTTGGGGAACGTTCCTCGTTTAGAGTTTGGCTAAAATGCAACCTAAAGATAAGATTGGCTAGTGAATCAGAACAGCCATAGAAACGGTTGTGTCTGTCCCCTCTTAGCGCGCGGGTCTTTGCGCACTGTTATTTTCCTTCTCCGAGATGATAACACTAAGAGTGAGTTTATGAGTGAGTCTATTACGGCTGTTGTTTATAAGCGTGCTCAGTGAATACGAATATAAACACAGTTGTTGTTCCGTCTAAGGTGAACAAAATTAATTGTTTTTTCTTGACGGATTTCCGAAATACGATAAGGTCGGCCAAGAATTTGTATTTGTATAACTTTTGCAAGCTGAGATGTGCTTACATTTCAGTTAAAAATTGTACACAGCTGTAGTCAAACGCCAAATCTTCTCGAGAAGACACATCTATCCATTTAGTAAAGTGCAAATTCAGGAGAAACATGGGAGCGAAATATGCGATGATGTGCTAGCAAGGCCGTTGCTTTGTTTAAATGCTTGGTTGCAACTCAGAATTGTTTTTTTCGTATTTTTGATTGTATCCAACAAAGATTTACCCAATAAAATAGTTTATTAGGTGCCTGCACAAATTTCTTCTGGGAGCACAAGGGCGTGTGTGTGTGTGTGTGTGTGTGTGTGTGTGTGTGTGTGTGTGTGTGTGTGTGTGTGTGTGTGTG